GCCGGGGCCGATGCGCTACTCGCATCTGAGCGGGCTGACGAACGCGGTGGCGTCGCCGCTTGTGCTGCACGCGACGTCGCTGTTGCAGTCGCAGCTGCGTGTGAGCAGCACTGTGCTGAGGTCGTTGCAGGCGGGCGGGTCGGCGGTGTACGTTGGCGGCGGCGTGGAACTGCTGTCGAGCGCGGTAGTGCTTGACGGCGTGTCGCTGGAGGCGTCGGGTGGTCAGACGGCGTCCGCGATGCATGTGGCGTCCTCGTCGCGTCTCAGTCTGCGGAGCCACTCGGTGTTCTCTGTGACGAACGTCTCGGTTGTGAGCAGCGGCGGCGGCATTGTGCTTGGCGAGCGCCTTGCGGTGCTTGACTCGGTGCTGCGCTTCGTGGGCGTCGAGGGGTCTGTTGCGTCGTCGCTGGTGCGCTGCGACGGTGGGATGGTCGGTGTCGGCGGGTGGCTGGAGATGCACGACGTGTGGGCGGTGGGCGAGGCGTCGTCGGTGGCGTCGCTGTCGGGGGTGACGCTGAGCGGCGGTTCCGTGTCGATTGCGCGCTGCACTGCCACCGGCGCGACGCTTGTCTCCGGGCTGGCGATCACGAGCGGCGCCGTGTCGGTGCAGTGCAACCGTGCCGGCGGCCGGGTGCTGCAGAGCAGCGGCGACTACCGCTTGGCCGGCCTGCCCTCCGTGAGCGTGGTCCCGTGCGACGGCTGTGCGGCTGCGCTGGCGTGCTTTGCTGCGCTGACGGCGTCGTTCTCCGACTGCGTGTGCAGCTGCCGCGTCGGCGGCGTGGGCGAGGAGTGCCTGCCGTTCGACGTGCCGCCTGCAAGGGCCGGCGGCAGTGGTGGCGGCGCGCAGGGCTGCGTGAGTGGCGTGACGCTGACGGAGTCCGTGACGGTTGGCGGTGGGCGGGCGACGGCGTGCTTCGACTCGGTGGTGTTCAGCGGGCCGATCACTGTGGCGGTGGACCTGCGCTTGATGGAAGCGTTCGCTGACGTGCTGAACGTGACGCTGCGCCACTGCGTGCTTGCGGCCGGCGCGCAGCTGCGGATTGGTGGCCTCAGCGAGAGCACGGCGCGCCTGATGCCCCGCGCTCTCGTCAACATGACGAACGTGACGTCGCTGGAGGGAACGGTCGTGCTGCATGGCGCGATGCCGCCGCACTCGAGTGTTCTGCTGGCGAACTCAACGCTGCGTGCGACAGTTGGCGGGTCGCAGTACGTGCCGACGACACCTGGCCATGCGGGATTGAGGTGTGGCCCCACGCTTGTCCTGGACGGCGTCCGGCTACTGTCGACGCGGTTTGTCATGACGCGGTCGAGTCTGGTGTGTGGCGGTGCCTCGTGCGCTACGATCCTCGTGGAGCGCGGCCTCGGCGTGAACCTGTCCAGCGTCTTCTACATGGACAACTGCGCTGTTATTTCGGAGACGTACGTGATGCACGGTCTTGCGTCAGACCTGCGTGTCAGCGGCGGCTCCGTGTTCTCCATACAGAACAGCTCATGGAGCGCGCTGAGCATCGAATACTACAAAGGTGCGTGTGTGTTTGAGGACGTTGCGGTGAAAGGCGGCAGCGTGCTGCAGGTTGTGTCCGGCACGTTCCGTCTCGGCTTGCC